ATTATTCTGTAGCAGAAAGCAAAGACTATCAAAGCTACATTACATAAGGTATAACACATATATTTCAAGGACTACCAAAGCTGCATTGGGAAAAAACTTATTTGGCAGAGATTATATGTTCATTATGTCTGCTGTGACAAGCAAATTCAGTATGTAACCATGGTGTTACAGTCACTAGGGAACACCATGTGGTAATTTTTGACTAACCATGGTGTGTCCTTATGACTGTAACCATGGTGTGTCCTTGTGACTGTAACCATGGTGTGTCCTTGTGACTGTAACCATGGTGTGTCCTAGTGACTGTAACTTTGGTGTGTCCTTGTGACTGTAACCATGGTGTGTCCTTGTGACTGTAACCATGGTATGTCCTAGTGACTGACCATGGTGTGTCCTAATGACTGTAACCATGGTATGTCCTAGTGACTGTAACCATGGTGTGTCCTAGTGACTGTAACTTTGGTGTGTCCTAGTGACTGTTACCATGGTGTGTCCTAATGACTGTAACTTTGGTGTGTCCTAGTGACTGACCATGGTGTGTCCTAATGACTGTAACCATGGTGTGTCCTAGTGACTGTAACTTTGGTGTGTCCTAGTGACTGTTACCATGGTGTGTCCTAGTGACTGTAACCATGGTGTGTCCTAGTGACTGTTACCATGGTGTGTCCTAGTGACTGTAACTTTGGTGTGTCCTAGTGACTGTTACCATGGTGTGTCCTAGTGACTGTAACCATGGTGTGTCCTAGTGACTGTTACCATGGTGTGTCCTAGTGACTGTTACCATGGTGTGTCCTAGTGACTGTTACCATGGTGTGTCCTAGTGACTGTAACCATGGTGTGTCCTAGTGACTGTTACCATGGTGTGTCCTAGTGACTGTTACCATGGTGTGTCCTAGTGACTGTTACCATGGTGTGTCCTAGTGACTGTAACCATGGTGTGTCCTAGTGACTGACCATGGTGTGTCCTAATGACTGTAACCATGTTATGTTCTAGTGACTGTAACCATGATGTGTCCTAGTGACTGTTACCATGGTGTGTCCTAATGACTGTAACCATGGTGTGTCCTAATGACTGTTACCATGGTGTGTCCTAGTGACTGTTACCATGGTGTGTCCTAGTGACTGTAACCATGGTGTGTCCTAGTGACTGTAACCATGGTGTGTCCTAGTGACTGTGACCATGGTGTGTCCTAGTGACTGTAACTTTGGTGTGTCCTAGTGACTGTTACCATGGTGTGTCCTAATGACTGTAACCATGGTGTGTCCTAATGACTGTTACCATGGTGTGTCCTAGTGACTGTTACCATGGTGTGTCCTAGTGACTGTAACCATGGTGTGTCCTAGTGACTGTAACTTTGGTGTGTCCTAGTGACTGTTACCATGGTGTGTCCTAGTGACTGTAACCATGGTGTGTCCTAGTGACTGTAACCATGGTGTGTCCTAGTGACTGTTACCATGGTGTGTCCTAGTGACTGTTACCATGGTGTGTCCTAGTGACTGTAACCATGGTGTGTCCTAGTGACTGTAACCATGGTGTGTCCTAGTGACTGTTACCATGGTGTGTCCTAGTGACTGTTACCATGGTGTGTCCTAGTGACTGTTACCATGGTGTGTCCTAGTGACTGTAACCATGGTGTGTCCTAGTGACTGTAACTTTGGTGTGTCCTAGTGACTGTTACCATGGTGTGTCCTAGTGACTGTTACCATGGTGTGTCCTTGTGACTGTAACCATGGTATGTCCTAGTGACTGACCATGGTGTGTCCTAATGACTGTTACCATGGTGTGTCCTAGTGACTGTTACTATGGTGTGTCCTAGTGACTGTAACCATGGTGTGTCCTAATGACTGTAACTTTGGTGTGTCCTAGTGACTGTAACTATGGTGTGTCCTAGTGACTATAACCATGGTGTGTCCGAGTGACTGTAACCATTGTATGTCCTAATGACTGTAACCATTATATGTCCTAGTGACTGTAACCATGGTTTGTCCGAGTGACTAACCACGGTGTGTCCTAATGACTGTAACCATGGTATGTCCTAGTGACTGTAACCATGGTGTGTCCTAGTGACTGTAACTTTGGTGTGTCCTAGTGACTGTTACCATGGTGTGTCCTAATGACTGTAACCATGGTATGTCCTAGTGACTGTTACCATGGTGTGTCCTAGTGACTGTAACTATGGTGTGTCCTAGTGACTGTAACCATGGTGTGTCCGAGTGACTAACCATGGTGTGTCCTAGTGACTGTAACTTTGGTGTGTCCTAGTGACTGTAACTATGGTGTGTCCTAGTGACTGTTACTTTGGTGTGTCTGCTGTAGCTAGTGATTTAGACAGGAAATGCTGTATAGATCTTTTACCAGAACCCCTGGGTATGTAGGTGGGGTCTGATTGTGAAATGTCTTTATCTTCTAGTCTGTTAAAATAAACTCAACTCTTTGAGTAGGAGTATCATAAAGTTGACAACTTTCACTGATGATGTGGCCAGAGCTTGCTTTAAGATGATAGCTTCAAGGCCAGGTTGTTAGGACGTGAAGCTATGATAAATGTAACACAAGCTCCCAATGGGTTTTTTAAATGGAGGCTTTTGATACTTTCAAGGTTGTTGGATGAAACTTTTAATTGGTTCTCAAGGCTTGACTTAGAGCAGCTTTCATTGTAAGGTGTGGTAGGTACTCTTACACACTAAAAAAATAATAAACAAAAACATAAAAAAAGCCAAGTAGGAAATAGAAAACAATAAGATAATTTGTACTGGACTGTAAACACCACTGTCAGTAACATTACGGCTCAGAGATAAATCTGGCTGAGCTGTTAGCTCTGTAATGGAGAGGAGGCCCTCCACCTCCTTGTCTGGTGAAGGCTTTATCAGTTATCACACTTTCAATCCTAATTATAAATAGCTTCATCATCTCTATTCACCTTGAGGATTTCCAAGTACTCAAGGATCATACTATATAAGTCTGCTATTCATATATAACCTTGACCTTCAGCTACCAAAAAAACACAACAAATGTTTATGAATTGGTTGTTTTGAAGATCCAGTACTTCTGACAGCTGTGAGTGTCAAGGACAACCTAATTCTGTGACTGTAGTAATCTCTGTATAATTCCTGTATTATAGGGTTACTGTAAATGTGGATGTTTTTGTGTGTGGAAATGTTCACGTTGTTTCTCTTCAAACTGATCGGGACATGGAAGATATTCTAGAATAGTAGTCAACCAAACTGACCGCTTGCGTATGACTTGTATGTATTTTATATTCTCTGACCGGGTGATGACCAGTTATTTGGTTGCCATTACATCAGTCAAGCTGACCGTGTGACCAGTTATTTGGTTGCCGTTACATCAGTCAATCTGTGACTGTAGTAATCTCTGTATAATTCCTGTATTATAGGGTTACTGTAAATGTGGATGTTTTTGTGTGTGGAAATGGTCACGTTGTTACTCTTCAAACTGATCTGGACATGGAATATATTCTAGAATAGTAGTCAACCAAACTGACCGCTTGCGTATGACTTGTTTATGAATTGGTTGTTTTGAAGATCCAGTACTTCTGACAGCTGAGAGTGTCAAGGACAACCTATTTCTGTGACTGTAGTGATCTCTGTATAATTCCTGTATTATAGGTTTGCTGTAAATGTGGATGTTTTTGTGTGTGGAAATGTTCGCGTTGTTACTCTTCAAACTGATCGGGACATGGAAGATATTCTAGAATAGTAGTCAACCAAACTGACCGCTTGCGTATGACTTGTTTATGAATTGGTTGTTTTGAAGATCCAGTACTTCTGACAGCTGAGAGTGTCAAGGACAACCTATTTCTGTGACTGTAGTAATCTCTGTATTATTCCTGTATTATAGGTTTACTGTAAATGTGGATGTTTTTGTGTGCGGAAATGTTCACGTTGTTACTCTTCAAACTGATCGGGACATGGAAGATATTCTAGAATAGTAGTCAACCAAACTGACCGCTTGCGTATGACTTGTTTATGAATTGGTTGTTTTGAAGATCCAGTACTTCTGACAGCTGTGAGTGTCAAGGACAGCCTATTTCTGTGACTGTAGTAATCTCTGAATGATTCCTGTATTATAGGTTTACTGTAAATGTGTTGTCTACCAGTACCTCTGACAGCTGTGAGTGTCGAGGACAACCTATTTCTGTGACTGTAGTAATCTCTGTATAATTCCTGTATTATAGGTTTACTGTAAATGTGGATGTTTTTGTGTGTGGAAATGTTCACGTTGTTACTCTTCAAACTGATCGGGACATGGAAGATATTCTAGAATAGTAGTCAACCAAACTGACCGCTTGCGTATGACTTGTATGTATTTTATATTCTCTGACCGGGTGATGACCAGTTATTTGGTTGCCATTACATCAGTCAAGCTGACCGGGTGACCAGTTGTTTGGTTGCCATTACATCAGTCAAGCTTACCGGGTAACCAGTTATTTGGTAGCTGTTACATAAGTCAAGCTGCCCGGGTAACCAGTTATTTGGTTGCCATTAGATCAGTCAAGCTGACCGGGTATCCAGTCATTTGGTTGCCATTACTTCAGTCAAGCTGACCGGGTAACCAGGCATTTGGTTGCCATTACATCATTCAAGCTGACCGGGTAACCAGTTATTTGGTTGCTGTTACATCAGTCAAGCTGACCGGGTAACCAGTTATTTGGTTGCTGTTACATAAGTCAAGCTGACCGGGTAACCAGTCATTTGGTTGCCTTTACATCAGTCAAGCTGACCGGGTAACCAGTTATTTGGTTGCCGTTACATCAGTCAAGCTGACCGGGTAACCAGTCATTTGGTTGCCGTTACATCAGTCAAGCTGACCAGGTGACCAGTTATTTGGTTGCCGTTACATCAGTCAAGCTGACCGGGTAACCAGTTATTTGGTTGCCGTTACATCAGTCAAGCTGAGCGAGTTTGTTACATGTCACCAACATTCTCTAAGTTGTTGATTTTATTGACAGCACTATTCAATGCCAATTTGTTTTTCTGTTTTTCAGGATGCTCAGAGAAAAGACAACTTGTCAAGATTCAGTTCCTCCTGTCCATCACTTGATGTAGAGGGACAAAGCCTTCTACCGCCTGACCTAGATGAAGGTTGGTATATCTGTAGACTCAGTTTCGAGTGACCAAACCGGTCTTCAAATTGTAGAACTGGAAATGTTGTCACAAGTTTAAAACAAATTCCATTACTCTAATATGATAAGCACCAATTGTAAAGCCAACTCAATATGGATACCCTAAGAGGCAAGGAGAGGACGATAGCTTACCAACACGACTGCTTAGTTAACATAGAAATGTCTCTGTGGATTTGTCTATAAACATTGTATATATAAGATTATTGACCCTGATGGCTGTCCCCAGCTGGGTACACTAGAAATCACTTACGATCACTGTAACACATCATTAACCTGGTATAAAAATAATTGAATTGTTGATTGAAACACCACAGGTATTGCTGTATACGTACTGCTAACTGATGCTGCATATTTGTTAATGTCCAGGCATTGTGTACTTCTACAGCTACAGTCTGGCTCACCAAGATTTACTAAACAATATGGCTAAATCTCAGTAGTGTACCTGCGGAATGTGACATGTACACACACCAACACCTGATGGTACAGAAATCTTCACCTATTAAACAGCTTGTGTATGTAATGTACCAATCTAAACATTGATGGAGTTACAGGACTTGAGCGTGTGCCAGTCAGCAGTCTGACCCACACTATATAAACATAACTATCCTGTAGATAGAGGTGTGGCTATAACACATCCTCTAATCTTTTCTGTTTCTTAAATGAAAGCCATCTAAACCCTGAAGGTCATTAAGGTCAGGACAAGAGGTCAAAGGTCAAATAATAGAGATCTTGTCCAGACCATGTTTTCTAAACAGCTGGTCATTTCTTTATGAAATTTTACATAAATTTATCACAGCATGACCAGTGAGTGTCTCCCAGGTAACTAGGGTACCCTTAAAGGTCAGCGCAAGAGGTTGAAGGTCATATCATTGTTGTTATGCCCCCCGCCATAAAATGGGGGGGGGGGGGCATATAGTGTTGCCCATGTCTGTCCCATCCCGATTCAATGTAAACACCCGTCCCGTCCCTTCCCGATTCAATGTAAACACTTCGAAACTTCATTCTTTGACAGATTTTAGTCAAACTTCCATAAACTTCCACAACCCTCCATAAAATGGGGGGGGGCATATAGTGTTGCCCATGTCTGTCCCATTCCATGGTGTCCCATCCGTCCCGTCCTGTCCCGATTCAATGTAAACACTAAGTAACTTCATTCTTTGACAGATTTTGGTCAAACTTTATACGAAGGTCAAGTATGAGTATACTTCGGACATCGTTGTGTTTCAGGGATCTAACGTCAAGGCCAAGATCACACTTGCTATAAATAGAAAATCATCAACTGATTCAATTTAAACATTTAGCAATTCCATTCTTTCATGGATTTTGGTCAAACTTTATGCAAAGGTCAAGTGTGAGTATACTTCGGACATTGTTGTGTTTCAGGATTCCAAGGTCAAGGCCAAGGTCACTGTTGCTAAAATATCAACTGATTCAATTTAAACACTTAGCAACTTCATTCAATATGTTATGGAGATGGTAATAACATACAGAAAAAACATATGAATATTAAAATCAACTTATCAACTTTAAGTGTAGTACCTTGTGTATGTGCATGTTTCAGGGTATCAAGATCAAAGTGGTTGTAACTTTTTATAGAACACTGAAACTAATTTCACATAGCAGCGAGGGCATTTATGTCTTACAGACTTTTTCTAGTTTTTACCCTAAGGTGAAGGTCAGGCCAAGGAGTTTAAGGTAAAATCAGTGTAGTTTGCACCGAAAATGTCAAGATAAGGCTAGGAGTTAAAGATCAAATCTTATAATTTGTACACTAAAGGTCAGGGTCAGGGCAATGGGTCAGTACAATATTAAGGTAATAAGACCAATAGGTATATCTAGATCTGTGCTTATAGCACAGGAAAACTCTTGGCATGCACTATTCATTGACAAACTTGTAATTCTGATCTTTCAAATATGCTGTTTATACATACAGAACAGTTGACTGGCTCATGTGTGTTTCAGTCGGTTGAGGGAGGGTTTATTAACTTATGGCATGGTCATCATCTATTAGAATTGGCCCATTTCTGAAGCAGCATGCCAGCATTTGCAGGGGAGGGGGACTTGAGCAAGGCATCTAGGACATACCTGGGCAGCCTTTGAGGGGAGTAACAAGCCAGAGTACAGGGGCACATGACCTGGCCATGTATTAGGACAGTAACAGGCCCGAGTATGGGGCCACATGACCAGGCCATGTATTAGGACAGTAACAGGCCAGAGTATGGGGGGACATGACCAGGCCATTTATTAGGACAGTAACGGGCCAGAGTATGGGGGCAGTTGTCCAGGCCATGTATTACGACAGTAACAGGCCAGAGTACGGGGGTACATGTCCTGGCCATGTTTTAGGACATTAACAGGCCAGAGTACAGGGGCCCATGACCTGGCCATGTATTAGGAAAGTAAAAGGCCAAAGTATGGGGGCACATGGCCTGGCCATGTATTGGGACAGTACGAGGCCAGAGTATGGGACCACATGACCAGGCCATTTATTAGGACAGTAACGGGCCAGAGTATGGGGGCAGTTGTCCAGGCCATGTATTACGACAGTAACAGGCCAGAATCTGGGGGCACTTGTCCAGGCCGTGTATTAGGAAACGAAAAGGCCAAAGTATGGGGGCACATGGCCAGGCCATGTATTAGAACAGTAACAGGCCAGAGCATGGGGGCACATGTCCTGTCCATGTATTGGGACAGTACGAGGCCAGAGTATGGGACCACATGACCAGGCCATGTTTTAGGACATTAACAGGCCAGAGTACAGGGGCACATGTCCTGTCCATGTATTGGGACAGTAACAGGCCCGAATATGGGGCCACATGACCAGGCCATTTATTAGGACAGTAACGGGCCAGAGTATGGGGCCCCATGACCAGGCCATGGATTAGGACAGTAACAGTCCCGAGTATGGGGCCACATGCCCAGGCCATGTATTACGACAGTAACAGGCCAGAGCATGGAGGCACTTGTCCAGGCCGTGTATTAGGACAGTAACGGGCCAGAGTATGGGGGCACATGACCAGGCCATGTATTAGGACAGTAACAGGCCAGAGCATGGGGGCACTTTTTTCTAGGGTCTGTAAAAGGGCATACCTGACACACATTTGTAGGGGGCACCTGGCTGGGGCCAGTTTTAAAGCATGCCAGCATTTGTTAAGGGGCACCTGGCATGGGCCAGTTTTAGAGCATGCCAGCATTTGTAAAGGGGCACCAGGCTGGGGACAGTTTTAGAGCATGCCATGCAGTTTCTGTTAAGGGGCACCTGGTCAGATCTTACAGGAGGCATCTGCTACAACACAAGAGGTCTGTGATAAAAAGGAAATGTTCCAGATGCTATTCTTCTGAATAAATAATGACAACAGTTTTCGAGAGATTCAGGATGTTTAATTATATAGTAGGAGTTGAGTACCATGTACTGTTAGGATTGAGGTTAGCAGGGCAGTATCAGAGATCTACACTGGCTTTTATATCTATATCCACTTGGTTTAAACAAGACAAACATGTTTTTCTGTCTTTCTCCTTGATTCCTTCTGGGATCACCTATTGTTGGGCTAGCGAGAACGCTGGTTATCCGAGAACGCTGGTTATCCGTAAAACCATACATGTGTTGTCAGCTGGCATAACATCTTTCCAAAGCTAGTTTAAAGTGAGCTAGACAAAAAAAACATCGTCTATATTGAGATGTTGTAGATAAGAGTAGATATGTAGATAATTGATTGAGTATGTAACTCCAAATATAACCTGTGTGTGAGGTAAGTTAATTGATGTATACACATGTAGGAACCTAATGTTGTCTATGTAACTGGTCTAGAGTTGTGGAAAAGTTGCTGCCCCTAAAGTAAAGCCATGTTAAAATATTTTCTAAACCAGTATTCTCTTTTTCAATTTCAAATCTTGACATGTTTTTAAACTTCACGTTTTTCAGATCACCACAATTCTATGCTTAACTTGTCAAAGGATGAGGAGCATGCAGGCCCGTCCCCACAGTTGGCCCGGGAGTCGCCCTCCGATAGCGAGGAGACCACAGACAGCCCGTACAATACAGACCCCACACAGGACACAGGCGTACAGATCTGCATAAACGGTGTCACCCTCGACCACTCTACCAACGACTTCAGACTTGACGTCAGTTTAAACCGTTTTTTGAGAGATTTTTACGGTGGAAACACTCCTGGCGTTCGGAGAAGAAGTTGGGGTGGCAACTTGTTGGAGGGCCAGAAACTGCAGGCCCGACATGCCATACATGGGGAGTCACTTAGGGCGAAGAGGTAAGAATGAGGGCGAAGGGGTAAGAATGAGGGCGAAGGGGTAAGAATGAGGGCGAAGGGGTAAGAATGAGGGCGAAGGGGTAAGAATGAGGGCAAAGAGGTAAGAATGAGGGCAAAGAGGTAAGAGTGAGGACAAAGCGGTAAGAATGAGGGCGAAGAGGTGAGAATGAGGGCAAAGAGGTAAGAATGAGGGCGAAGCGGTAAGATTGAGGACGTAGAGTTAGAATGAGGGCAAAGAGGTAAGAATGAGGGCAAAGCGGTAAGAATGAGGACAAAGCGGTAAGAATGAGGGTGAAGAGGTAAGAATGAGGACAAAGCGGTAAGAATGAGGGTGAAGAGGTAAGAATGAAGGCAAAGAGGTAAGAATGAGGGTGAAGAGGTAAGAATGAGGACAAAGCGGTAAGAATGAGGGTGAAGAGGTAAGAATGAGGACAAAGCGGTAAGAATGAGGGTGAAGAGGTAAGAATGCAGGTCACCAAGGGTCAAGTGGAAGGTCATTTAGGGTCAAACCATAGTATCATGGTTACATTCAGTAAGGAAAACATCTTTGTCACAAATATGAATTATTTAAGTTCATATTTACAGACTTTTTTTCGCAGGAAATATGTCTTTTTATACTGCAGCTATTTTATGGGGAACATATAGTGATACTTATGCCCGTCCCATCCAGATTCATTTTTAACAGATTTCATCAAAATGTACAAAAGTACAAAAAACCGCCTCAGATGAGTTTGTATGTCAGAATCTTAAGGTCAACTCCAAGGTCACTGTTGCTTTTTATAGATCAACCACAAGTCCAACGAGACTTTCATGTCTTTCAGATGTTTTACTGTGATATAGCAAGAGTTTTTCAAAATTAGAGTGATTTGAGAGCAAACAGGAAAAATAGGAGTCAAACTCAGGACCTAAACACTGCCAATCCAAATCCACAACAACAAAATGAGATAAGAATACCTTGACATGGGAAGTAACTCTAGCCAGATAAACAAATTTCTGAATTTCCTGAACTTTTTCCTTTAATACACCCCAGAAACTAAGGTTCATAATCTTCCTATATGATCAATAAAAGCGCGTCCAATTAAGAATTTCATAAAAAATTATATAGATTGTTGTACGACAAATGTTATTCATGACATTCATTATATTGATTTTGAATTTCCAAGAATACAAAAATTATATTCCACAGAAGACTGATGTCTGAAAAATTGACACCTTCTGATCAGCGAGTAGGCACATGACTAGCACGGAGAGATGTTACTGCAGTATTTTATACATAACTGGTGCAGTTGTTTACTGGAAGATTTATGATTAGTATTTCATACATAAGCATACCTACAGTATATCTGGTCAGGGGGAGGGGGAGCCCTAAGGTAGTATTTCATACATAAGCATACCTACAGTATATCTGGTCAGGCGGGGAGGGGGAGCTGTAAGGTAGTATTTCATACATAAGCATACCTACAGTATATCTGGTCAGGCGGGGAGGGGGAGCTGTAAGGTAGTATTTCATACATAAGCATACCTACAGTATATCTGGTTAGGGGGAGGGGGAGCTGTAAGGTAGGTAATGGCCGGTAAACAGCTGGTTGCTATGCCTACATCACCATTATAGCCATGTATTTACCAGTTAAAGTAGTGAATGATAGAGACAATGACAGCTCCCTTTCCACTTACTTCTCCCTAACATTTGTAACAAGATAGATTTTGACTTTAATGGCCACAGAAATGACTGGCCGTTTGAACTGGTGCCAGTGTAGTAAATGACCATTGGCATTCTGACCATGGTCAACATTCCAGTGTAGGATCACTGCATGGCCACCTCAATCTACACCGACATATGTCAAAATTGGTTATTTAGATAATTTTTACAAATCTGTCTTTCAAGGTTATATGCCCTGGTGGTTCTGGTTTCTGCTTTGTATAGACAAATTCTTTTTTTTGGTCAGAATCTATGATTTATTTCTTATCTTACCATTACAAATGTTTCATTTTCCAGTAAAAGTTTCTAATTTTGCATGCAGTAGCTATATGATGACGTACTGTCCTTACAGTACATCCATCAGTTTAAGCCATAAGGACTGGGTTGGCCTAGTTTTCTCATGTCCAACATTAAATCGTCTTGAGCTGTGGTGGTACTGATCTACTATCCTCTGGGTACATCGGGCTAAGACGAAATTGTATTTATATAGCTTCACATCCGTTATTTTGGTAAAAGAATGTTTGGCTCATTTCATGCATCCATTAGCTTCTGGTTCACAGCGCATCATAAAGGAGGTCACCTTTCCTGGCCCTCTGGACCAAAGGTTTCTGTTTAGTCTCGTACTGGCCACTAAAACATACTGCAGTCAAATAGCAAGAAATCATATACAGATAGCGACTCTGTGGGGCTTGTTTCTGTACCACATGTAAAACTGGCTTTCTCATCTCGCTCATCATTCCAGATGGTTTGATAATTTCTTGTAAAAACTTGTGGAGAAAATGATACCAGGATACAATGGTTTAGGAACTCAGTGGGTAAACCATTTCTTCTCTGTCTGCTAAAACACTTCTACTACCTGCCATCCCTGTACTGTATATTTCACTTCCTTCTGGTCTCTAACATGGACAGGGCTATTCTGTTCTAATGGTACTGCAAGTTGTAATCAGATGAATTAGTTGAACGTTAAGACCTCCAAAACAGTACATTCTTGGGTCCCGTTGGGTTACAATCAAGATAAACATGATCAGAAAACACTTTTAAAAAAACAACCTAGACACAAGATGTTTGTAGGCTGATCTTCGTGTTTGTTTATCAGTGTAGGTATTGGTGTCAGGTGTTGTTTGTTTAATGTAAAGAATATTATATAGATACTCGGTCTTCTTCAATCTCTGTGTATTATTGTATTTCTGCCTCACAGGACCCTGAATTCCATGTACTCAATGTTGTGTAAACTTACACACACTTCACAGCATCAACTGGTACCATTCCAGGGCAACGTGGCAGCTTTTCGAGCGAAAAGTTGTTCAAAGAATTTCATGCTCCAAATAACAGACAATTCAACCCATTTATTTTTTAAGTCGCAATATGTAACTGAAATTTTCACCCTTACAACGAAGGGAAATAGAAATGTCTGTGAGATAAGTGGGCCGTATTGTCAGCATTTAGTGTGGTATACTGGCTGTGTGTAAGATTCTAGCCAGTCTCTGATAATTCTGTTAGGGAATCTCTGGGCAGTAATGGTAAAGTGGCCTACACCAGCAGCCGTCCCTGTCTAATGAAATGTTACGGCACGTGATGATGTACATCACATTGACATTGTACTTCGGTAGTACACACACTAAAACCTTACACTCTTGATCAGACAAAATTGTTTTTTTTTAGGAGTAACATGCTTTTAAATGGTTTGTTTACAGCCTACAATTGACATTTAATACTTACCTTGAATGTGAAGATTTGCAGTGTTGTGGCAGTGACAAATGTTTATCTGTTTGAAGTGTGGCAGCGGATACACCGCTACAGAATACCTGTCCCAACTGAAAATTTAATGAGAAATTCCCTATTTAGTGTCAACTGATTTACCTGTTATTGATCAGTAAAGTTTGTAAAAAGCAGAGCATTTCTGACAAGACAGTGTGATTTGTCTTAACCATGAACATATCACAATTCAAGTGTAAGGTCATAAAACTGTAGATTTTATTTTACTGGTGTTTATTTTTTGCATGGAATAAATCAACTGATTGTTAGCCCACCAACATCTGATGGTGGGCTATTCAAATCACCCTGCATCCGTGGTCCGTCGCCCGCCGTCCGTCGTCCGTCCTTAAACAATTATTGTTATCGGTATTTCTCAAGAAGTACCAAAGGGATCTTTCTCAAATTTGATATGTAGGTTAACATCGGTCCTTAGCTGTGCATGGGAACTTTTGAGACTGATTGGATAAACAACATGGCCGACAGGCAGCCATCTTGGATTTTGATAGTGAAAGATTGTTATTGCTATTTCTCGGGAAATTTTATATGTAGGTTTCCCTTATTCCCTTGTTGTTGCAGCAGTGCCTAAAATGGATGGTCGCCTGCTTGCCAATGGCGGTTAAAGTCTTGCTCGAGCGACCGAAAGGTGTCAAAAGTGAGGTAGTCACTGGCCCAACAAAAATACTTTGGGCGACTGTTGACAAATTAATGAATAAAAGAAATTATAGTCCCTTCCACATTAACTGGGGGGCAGTACATTTTTCAGTTGTCATTACTTCGATTTGAATCGAACTGTTCTTGATTTAGAAAATGGGATAATAAAAAAATCTGATTTTTAAATACTGCCAAGGTGTCTTCTTTGAGGTGCGAGTTTTGTGTATTCCTTTTTTTAGAATACCTAAATGGAGTGGATCATGTCAGGTTTTAACTATGGTTTAAGAATTAAAAATATAATGTTTTATTCTGTTTTACATATTACAAATATTGTCATGTTATATGTAATTTAAATGTGCTGAAGCATTGTGCTAAATGCTGTGGAAATATTTCTTCCCAAAATTATTTGGGCCACCAATGTCATTTGGGCCAGTGCTTCAATTTTTTACTTGACCCAAAAAAAATTTTTTGGCCCATCCAATGCAGGTTCCCCACTTCCTTTTATTGTTAGCTCACCTGGTCCAAAGGACCAAGGTGAGCTTATGCCATACCATGGCGTCCGTCGTCCGTCGTCCGTCCGTCAACAATTTCTTTAAACGACTTCTTCTTCTTAACCACTGATTTGAATTTTACTAAATTTGACTGGAAGCATCCTTAGGTGGTGGGGAATCAAAATTGTACAAATGGTGTGGCTGACCCCCCAGGGGGCTGAGGGGCGGGGCAAAAAGGGAGCAATTTGGCTATATTGCTTTAAAGCGACTACTTCTCTGGAACTAAGTGATGGATATCAACCATATTAGACTGGAAGCATTCCTAGGTGGTGGGGATTCAAAATTGTACAAATGGTGTGGCTGACCCCCCAGGGGGCTGAGGAGCGGGGCCAAAAAGGGTTATTTCGCTATATTGCTTTAAGCGACTTCTTCTCTGGAACTAAGTGATGGATATCAACCATATTAGACTGGAAGCATCCCTAGGTGGTGGGGATTCAAAATTGTACAAATGGTTGGGCTGACCCCCCAGGGGGCTGAGGGGCGGGGCCAAAAAGGGGGCAATTTGGCTAGATTGCTATAAACGACTTCTTCTGTAGAACTATGCACTGGATATCAATCATATTTAATCAAAAGCATTCATGGGA